TGTGTATCTATCCGTGAATCCGTGAATCACTGACCGGACGCTGCATGTCCACCTGAAATTCCAACGGTTTATCGATTGGCCGCTATAAAATAAGTGAATACAACTGTTGGTCCCGGCCCCCAAAAGGTGGGTGAAGGCCGTACAATTATCATCCATTTGACACTACTTTCGAGCCGATATTCCCAGTCACCGGGACGCTGCTTCCCTTTGGGACACTCAGTAAGCCAATAAACCTTGTGAACTGAATACCCGGGAAGGCGCCACTTTTGGTACTTTGCGCCCCCGTGTTTTTCCATTGGTCTGAGAATGGCTGAGTTTGATTTAACTCATAGAATCAGTAACTTCTTGGACAAGCACCTGATACTACCACTGTTGGAATATATCTGTGTGAAAAATGTGAGTAGTGGTACTTTTTTGAAGGCTTACTCTCCTAGATATATGACGAAACCAGTTTGTTGAAAACGAAGTTGGAAGTCCTTTTGGGTACCTCTATGGTCGACTATGCTGCGGATACTTACAAAGTAATATATGACGAAGAAGTCCCCGAAGGTAGTGATATTGGTCTGATAACCCTCCACAGATTATTCCGAGAGACGCGAAAAGGTTCTTGAAAGCATTAATGAAATGGAAATCAAGCTTGAACCAGTGAAGGCAATTTTCAGCCCGGAAACAATGAAGGAAGTCGCACAGTGCAAGAATGCGAAGGACCTTCTTTCCAGTCTGGAAACTAAGTACAATTTCAAGTTGGAGATGCTGGATGATATGTTCGATGCCGCGAGGGTAGGTTCGGGGGTTTCCGGATGGGCGAATATGACTGAGTCAGTAGGAACTATAGTGGTTAAAAGACGTATTCTTCATCAGGTGCGAGGCGTTTTGGTTGACCTCTTGAACAACCTGTGTTTTCGGAAAACAGTTTTGTTGATCAATATATCCTCGCAGTGCAATGTGATTATAGCCGCATAGTTCCCGCCAGTTTTTGGCCTCTTCGCTGCATCGCTACAGCGTTGCGAGTGGCATCCTGGTCAAAAGTCTGATGTTTTGGCCCATCGATTCGTACGGACTCTACCTTCAACTAAAGCTTTCTTACTTTAGGGATTCGTACGTGGTCAAACATGCCCACTCTTTGCTTAGTCCCCATGGTGGAATGCTAGATATATATCGTTCAGCTGTAGCACCTTTTCGGTGCCTAACTGCCATGTCACCAGAAGGAAGCACGAGGGTGGGGGACTGCCAGGTTGCCCAAGCCTAGACAGGAGAAGTCAAGAGGTAGAGGTCGGTTTCGTAACACGGACCTTACGGTCAGGAAATTCGCGCTCTACTACTATGTCAGTACACTCTCCGATGCTTAAGCAGGAAGAGATGCTTATCTTAAGGTGAGAAATACTCGTGAAGCAGTAGATACGAACTAATTGGCTTCGAAATGGCAAAAAAAATCATTCAGCTCTAGCACCATTTCGGTGCCCAACCGCCAGGTTGCCCAAGCTTAAACAAAGTAAGTCGAGAGGCAGATATCAGATTCGAACTGTGGACTTCCTGCTGTCTAACCACTGGGCCATCTCGCCCCGCGAAATGGCAACTCATACAGCGGATTGTAGGTTGCCTAACACGGCATCTTGAATCATAGCCATCCATCAATAGCCGATAGCCACGTGATCCAATTGGGTTCACTCGTTGGCTGCCAGGTTGCGAGATGCCAGCGTCTATTGTTGTTCAGAATTCGTACTGGCCGGAATTAGCTGATGATCGGCACACCTAGAGGAATCTGTACGACCAACATTGGCTCCGAGTGCTTCTTGCTTGATGAGTAGACCCTGATTATTCCCGGTAAAAGGTATCCTCAGCAGGTATCCTCTGCAATCTGTTGGGGCATATGTTGACACGGTTTTTTATGTCGCGCAGCACTGAGCTGGACAACCGGACGGCGCAGAGGTGGCTGTTCTGAAATCCAATCAAGCGAAGCGCGTTCAGCTTTGGGATAAGTGCCATTTACATTCCGTGTACTTACGAGTCATCGCTTATGTATTGCCCATCACACAGAGTGCAATGTGATGGGGCTGGCATTTTAAGACGCATGAACACTCTTGGGCCGTGTGTACTTTTTTCAGAGACAGCTTACGTCAATTTTAAGGGAGTATTAGGTGTGGCAAACATGGACTGTTCATCACTTCGACATAGAGTGCGAACGTTAAAAGCCGAAAGGGTCGTACATTTAGCAAGGTGTTTGTTTGTTGTTAATGGGCAGCAGGGCGAGTAAGGCACATCGGTGAGACAACTGGTAAATCATCCAGCGACGGTAGGAAGGGGTTGGGGAGGTGCCCCACCCTGAACCTGAATTAAAATTCTGACCCACAAGGCAGTGGGAGGAGGTTTTGCTCGGGGACCTTGCCCCTAGCGTTTAATTCAAAAGTCTAACCCACTAGGTTGCGGGCTGTAGGATTTTCTGTAAGGGCTCTGCCCACAGCCGATGACTCAATAGTTTGAGCTGCTCGGTTGTAGATTTCACAAGAAGTGAGGCATTACCGTCTGACTTCCACTGTGGCCGCCTACAATAGGTGGCTTTTGAGCAGCACTGCACTCTTTGATTTTTAAAGTATTTTCACCGCATTGGGTAGCGCGCCGGCCGCGACGGTCAGCTCGCCCTTCCTCGGGGGAAGGCAGCATCGCTGCTTTCATGAATGGACGTACTTGTCGGCTGGAAGAAACTTCTTACTGTCTTCACACTTCTGTCGTAGAGGACAGAACGGCCTTACCCCCAGACTGCTTCGTATCACGATTATTCGTAGTACGGGATCTCGCTGCTGTTGGTCTGACTGTTCCCGTTCGGCCTTCGTGGCATGGTAAGCTGATATCACGCCGATGTTACAGGTGATGCAGGAACAAAAATCTGCTCTGGCCTTCCCAACCCGGATGGAGATATCATCCTTCGTGTGACCACTGGCAGTAATACAGCTGTCCAGGTGGACAAATGTGTCGGCCACCTCGATCAGCTTGTCCGCAACATTAGGTTAGGGTTCGAGTCCACCCAGTCTTTCAGTAGCACTTTATACTTTGCATGCCAAACCTTGAGGCAGAATTATCTAGATTATTTCATATTGCCCGGCGTCAGATCCAAGAAGAGCTACTCCGTCTTTGTACTCGATATATGTGAGCGGGCGCCCCGGGAGCACCTCGACCCCACAGACATTGGAGGCTAATAGTGAGTCTTCCATAATCGTATCAATGATGACTTTGAAGAGGAACGGTGAAAGAGAACAGCCCTGCCTGACACCCCTTGATGTGTCGAACTCAGACGAGAGCTTCCCGTAGCCCTTTACATTTCCGCAGGAGTTGGCTTACAGCTTTGCTAGGTGGGTCACCAAGGATCCCCCACCTTCTTCGAAGTAGACTGGGTACTGACCGTCCGGTCTTAGTGCCTTCCCACGTTTCAGCAGGGATATTCTGCCCGTATGCACTAGCTCCACAGGTTGTGTTGCAGGAGGCCAACCCAAATGTTCTTTGAAGTATTCGACCTATCTTTCCAGTCGACGTTTTTGCGAGCGAGTAGTGAGCCGCCTTTTTCATTGGCCGCTGCTTTTCTAGGGCCAGTCGTTCGTATCATCTGATATACGGCACGGCTGTTTCCGCCAACAACAGTCTTCTCCAGCTTTCGATGCCAACCAGAGCTTCGGGCTTCACTGTTTCACGTTTGGGGGATTTGCGTCTGCCCTCGTACTCGTTAACTGCTGGAACGAATTTCCTCACATTACTCGTTGATAGCGATATCGACGACACCAGTGAATGCCGCTAGCATAGCTCCGTTCGCATTTTGTCATGCTTCCACGTACTCACTACCAGTACAGTATTGGTTCACTGTGGGGAGTTGTTTGGCTAGCCCAGGTCGATACTGTTGAGCTGTGGTAGTTCTTCGAAGATGGTGGATTGGCATGCTTTTTGGTGACTTACGAGGGCCTGAGGTGAAACAAACAACCAGGCGTGGATGTCCCATGACTTGATCGGAGTAAGTTGTATGCCTTAGAAGGAACGACAGTCTTAAATTGTGGCTGTTCACTGGTGGCTGATGGCCACGTGATTCAACTGGGTACCTGGTTGATTCGCAGTTGTTGGCCGCCAGGATGCCCGATGCGAACGTTTATGTCGGAAGTTCGTACTTTGCCAGAAACAGCTCGTGATCAGCACACAACTGGAGGACTCGTTCTCCGTTGTCTTGCCGCGAAAATCGACTCCGAATCGACCACCCGAATGTGATTTCAAGTAGCTCAGGCGGCGTTCATATCGCTCGCAAGGATGACACTGCCTGACGGATGAGCCTGGATAACTCTCGATAGAAAATATCCTCGCGGTCCCGCTGCTCTCGGTCTGACTGCTCCTGTGTGGTCTTCCTGGCGTGGTTGCATTTGTGGAACTGGATTCCAGCTAGTGTAGCCCGCGGGATCATTACAATATTCAAGCCAGACTACCACGTCAAGGTGGCTGTTTTAGATCTGGTCCTAATCAGTTGTGTGTCTCAGTGCACAAGTTGGACATATCGGGCCCTAATCGGTTGTGTGTCTCAGTGCACAAGTTGGACATTTAAGTTCATTGGAGGTACGACTTACTGACAAAGTCAGCTCGCACTTTAGACGTAATGACAATGGTTGTAGTATTTTGCAAATTTTGCTGACCACCAGTTGTTCCGCGACAGTACTGGATTCAGACTCGTACACTATTAAACAGCGGAGCCTAATTAACCACAGCAGTTTTCCTAAACGCTTCATGTCGACTCGAATAATGCTCATGTCTGGTTTAAATTTTGAGCAGTTTCCCGAAGAGACCCAAGAAACGAACTCATCATTCAAACTCCGAACCTTTCTGGCTAGCAAATAGAATAGTTTTATCTAAGTGACTTATACGAAGATGTCAGTCCTAACTCAGGCGAGACATTACTATGACATGAGACTCGGCATTGGGTTTTCTGGAGACCTACCAAATATCTACCAGATTTTAGGACAGCCATGGGTACAAGATGGCTCGGTGGTTACGGTGGTCCTTGGTTCGAACCCAACCTCTGCCTCTCGACTTCCCCTGTCTAGGCCTGGGCAACCTAACAATATCCAAGCCCTCGTGCCTTTTGGTGGTATAGCAGGAGTGCTGCAGCTGAACAATTTAAGACCGCCATTATCATTCCCTGACGCGAGATTCTTATTCCTTTGGATGCTGCACGTGAATCAGTCAGATCTGTTGGACGTCAGTTCTAGCCTAGTTTGCATGCAGATGTATGGACTAAGTCTGAGTTGTTTGTTTTTGTGTGAACCTCACTTAAAATCCCTCTGCGCGGCAAATCTTTTCCGGTACTGCTCGAGATCACCAAAAGTCCGGGTCAGACACGTAATCATATTTGCTCATTTTACTTCACACAGGTATTCTACGACATTGGCAACTATAACACAGCCTCGGAGTATCTGCGCGTTGTACGACAACTAGTTACCCCGGGTAGCAAACGTCATCTGGACGCCTGCTGGGGTCGCTTGGCAAGTGAAATCCTTGTGCAGAATTGGAACGAGGCAATGGATGATTTGGAAAAACTCAAGGATGCCATTGATTGTCAGACAGAAGAGCGTGTAAGTCTGTTTGGAAAGTTTCTTGGCTTTATTCGGTTCCTCATCTACCCATATTCTTTCCCAGATGTATTTGCTGCACGTTTGCGACTTACACTGCTTCCACAGTATAGTCATCGGTGGTTTTTATGTGATCCACTCATCATTGGTGGAAGAAGTATGGTTCTCGGTGCCACCTAATGATGTTTTGCCTCCTGAAAACTGTTTGGTTTGTTTTCCTGCTTCAACGAAATGTTTGGAGGGTATTCAACATTTTCAGCAACAAAATGGGACCTTGTATCACGTACTCCACGGTAAACTCACCAAAATCCGGTCTGTTCATCCAGTTTAGAATGAGGAAACTGCTTCGTCAAAAACTTCCAGTAACTTCGGTCGTGTTCGACTAGTGCTCATAACAGGAACAGAGATCATCGGCACTATGTTTCATCATTGGTAGATTGGGTGAGTTTATTGATCTGTTGACCGAGCATGGCGATTGGCTCGTAGGTGTAGTAACCAATCACGTTGCAGTTACTAACTACCATTCGGATAAACTCAAGAAGAAATGTAGGAATCGCCTACCCAACCACGCACGGGCGATGTTCCGTCGCACGGTGATGAAACGTTTGCAAGCTGATTGGTAAGTTCGGCAAACAGATCAACTGCCACCTGACCAACAACTGGTAATCATCACTGACATCAACACTAGTGCGGAAATATCAGCGCTCTAATGCTATCCACCTGGGTGATTTACTGGGAGGAAACCCTGGTGTGTAAAAAGGATGAACATGGTGATGGAAGGGGGCCTAGTGCTAGCGCGGGACCTACATTTCTGGTGCTCGATCAGACGCTTTGGAGGGAAACTATCTATGTGAACGTCCGTAACTTAAGTTTGAGCGCCCTCCTTTGGCCAAACACAGGGAGGGGTCCTGTGACGTGAGATCTACACACAGTGAGAAGTTTATGACAGTTTCCTTCAGTCTCTTCTGCCTCCCGCCTTTCGGTCCGAATTTGGCATGAAAAGTGGAACACATGATTATTTTGTGATGCAAAGTGAAATCCCTACACAAATGATAGCCACGCCATCGTCAATCCGGCTTCGTTTAGGCCCTGGTAGAATCCCCTTTCACCGCTCGATTGCGATACATCATCTTTCTCTCTCGGCAAACCTACAAAACACAGAAATTTCCAAAACCACACTACCAATTTTAGGGAACTTGTAACTTGTTAAATTTTCTCACAAGCTAACAGATCCGGACCTCATTTTTCAGCCTTCTTCGCATACTTGTCTAATGCAACTGCAACAACGTACTTGGCTTCTGCATTGGTCGCTCTTTGTGTTCTTCAATCATCCGCAAGGAAAGGAAAAGCTAATCGAATGGTTCATGCAAAATCCCACGTAAGTTATTCGACACGGTTCCCGTAGTCGTTTGTTGGATGTGCATCGGTCACTTTAGACGTTTTGTTTCTACTCCAGGTTTTGGTAATGAGTCGTTTCGTGACGGTAGCCCTATACAACGACGCTCAACTGACGGATGCTGGGGAATTACGGCAACGTGAGAAAAATTGATAAGCGTGTGTGAAACTACTACCATAAACTCGAGATAGCTGAGTGGCTTAGGCGCAAACCTACTGACCGGAACGTCCGAATCCAGCCCCGGTATTTCGATTGCTCCTGCTTGAGCAACCTGATAGTATCTCAGCCCTCGTGCTTCCTCCTGGCGACATAGAAGCCAGACACCGAAAAGGTATTGCAAATGAACGACTATTTATTTTCATCTACTATCAATAGAGTCTGCTGTAATTACGTGCGTAAAAAATGGTTCAGCTGTAACACCCTTCCGGTGCCTGGCGGCCATGCCACCCGAAGGAAGCACGAGGGCGGAGATACTACCAGGTTACCCAAGCCTAGACATGGGAAACCGCGAGGCACGATTGCTCCTGAGCAACCTGATAGTATCTCAGCCCTCGTGCTTCCTCCTGGCGACATAGAAGCCAGACACCGAAAAGGTATTGCAAATGAACGACTATTTATTTTCATCTACTATCAATAGAGTCTGCTGTAATTACGTGCGTAAAAAATGGTTCAGCTGTAACACCCTTCCGGTGCCTGGCGGCCATGCCACCCGAAGGAAGCACGAGGGCGGAGATACTGCCAGGTTACCCAAGCCTAGACATGGGAAACCGCGAGGCAGAGGTCGGGTTCGAACCACGGACCTTCCGCTCAGTAAATTTGCGCTCTAACAACTTGAGCCATCTCGCGCATGGTTTTATGGGAAAGGGGCTTTTCTATTCCGCCTTACTAAAAGATGGTGTTTGAATGACGGAGAGTAGATTGGAGGGTCTTTGTCTGATGTTGCTCCATTAAAGGGTTCCCCTTCTGTTTGGTTTTTGGTACGTATAGGAACTTCATACTGGGTTGGCTGTACTTATTTTCCGGTTGTATCCGGTAAGGTACCGGCATTCGGACCACCACTTTTAAAATGACTCCTTCTGTCCTGTCTTTTGTGAAAGAAGCAGCCTCCGTAACAGTATATAGTCTTGTCATCTTGAGTCAATCCTATCGCAAAGTGCAGGGCACTGCCTGGCTGCCATCTGATAATTCTTGGCGTCGTTTAAACTCGCTTAACGGCGTTTTCAGCTCTCTTCAAACTTTGGGACTGCTCCTTAGAGAACACGAAGAAAGCCCCCGTCTATCTTTCACTAACCAACTTCCATCACAGAAACGGCTTTTTTTATTCTGATGGTGGAATTCTTTGTCGTACACCTCATCCAGTGGTCGTCATTTGGATCGGTATCATCTCTGGAATGGAGTAACTCCAGAGCCCTCTGATGATTCTCGCGATGGGTTCGTCAGTATGTGTGATGGGGACATATTACTGACTAAAAAGCCGCACACTAGTGCCAATAAATGTTACCAGGCGTTCAGTCCGTCGGGTATAACTGCCTCAAACTACGGTGTTTCAAATTCACTTCTCAACGTGGGTTGCATTTTCTTAGAAGCGATGGAATGGGGATAAGGTTCTATTAGTCATTCGTGTGGCCGGTGACTTCCAGAAGTGCTTTTTCGGTATAACACTACCCGTAAGTAGATGCCAAAGCACGCGCGGCGCGGATGGTCGCTAACTGGATGTTTGCCGCTGTTTCGGTTTGAGGAATACATTTTCTGCAGGAATATCTCGTTACTGATAAATTTAGCAGTAGTGTAAATAATGCTTCGATTATGATTGTCTCGTCCAGCGTCTCACCGCTGTCACATCCTCTCAAATTGCCTTTAAAAGTTGATACCGTGGACTTTATCGTACTCTATTGTTACTCATTCTCTCCGATAACAACATGGTAATCCTGTGGGAGAAGTGAACGTTCTCGCGTTTCGTTTCGAGTGGAGAGGTTCTGATTAAATCATGACTGACGGGTACACTCTGGGATTAACACGTTTGTGACTTCCTTCAACCGAATGTGCTGCACCAGGCCGCTTTGTGTTTCAGTTGGTTGGCTATCTTGAATATCGTACCAGTCAGAACATGAATCGGCCTGGTGCAGTAGAATAAACAAATCAGATTAGTCCTGCTTGATAACCAAATCGGTATGAGTACGTGCGCATTTGTCGAATTTCGTGCAATTCGGAATTCGGGGACTGAGCTCCAAGAGGGGCGAAACCTGGCCTTGGGCTGTCCAGGAGTTTTACTCAATATCACGAGTAGTGTGTTGCATCTACCACTTCAAGAATTCAATCAGAACACTTTCGGGAAGTGCCCGTCCTCAGCCAGTTCCGTTTCCACATGTTTCATCTGCTTTGCCAACAGACCAGTGCCACTATTCGTTTTTTGTTGAAAATACTGGTCTTTTGGCAGTCTACCTTCCCCTGCACTGCTTGAAAGCCATTCCTTTTCATCAGCCGATGGTTTGGTACTTTTTCAAACTGTTCCTCGCAGGCATTTGAATGCTATTCAAACATTGGCTCCTCACTTGCTCCGCTACCTGACTGTGTGCGTCATCACCAGTACGGATAAAAAGAAGAAGAGTCTGATTCGCGATCTGGTCTATTTGATTCAACAAGAAAGCTACTCTTATCGGGATCCGGTGACGGAATTCTTGGAATGTCTTTTTGTGAAGTTCGATTTCGATGGAACTCAACAGAAGTTGCGTACTTGTGAGACAGTGAGTTCTTCGCTAGGTGTTTTTCTGTTTTTCTCATCGTCATCCTCGTTCTCATCATCATCGTCCACAGCACAACGTCAATACTCAAACAATGATTGATACTTTGGCTCCGTACGATCATAAATTATTTGGAAGGCTTATTTAGAGGAAAAATAAAAGCGAACGCGGAACTTACTCGGCTCTAGCCTACCACAACCTTTCTGAGGTAATCACTCAGACCCTGAATAGAAATTGTCACCAAGACATTGACTTGGATTCGAAGCCATATCTTGCAACGGCTTCACCTATGCGCGGTGGGGATCACGCTCACCCTGGAAGGCGGGTTGCTCCCGCAGCACCCTCTGATGAGGCCAACTTAAAGTTCCAAATTTAGAGGTAGCTGAAAACTAAATGTGACACTGACGTGACTATTTCTCACTGCGCTATCCATCACCAGTGCGCTGTCATCAATGTTGAACACTGATGCTTTACTGAAGTACAACCGTGATTGGTTTGGTGGCCCCATTGTGAAGAGGATGACAAAAGTAGACGGGAAAGGGACTTGGTGCTAGTCTACCACAACTATTCTCCCCCAACACTAAAAACACGATTTTTTCATGTTGCTTGGTGATCTTCGCCCAATGTGAACGAATTATTTTTACTACTCAAAACTATCGGGTCATACGAAATTTCATCTGAAACTATAGATTGTTCAATCTTTCTTATCGGATTTATTCCATCATCTGGAGCTTTTCGCATACCTGCCTCTTATGTTTAAAACTCTGGTCAACAACTTTTCTTAGTTGCTGATTCAAACATGTGACTGTCTCTCAAAACAGAGTTTAATCCTCTACCTGTATGAATGTTGTTTTCCACCTTGGGGAGCTGATTCTCCCCCATAGTATGGTGCGTCCTGGCGTTACTGTGTGCGGCATGTCATTCCTTAGTTGGCATGAGTGGCGAGATTGCCAAACACAATCGATTTTGGTCAGCAACCTGATGCCTGCCGGATTCGTTCCCGGACTCCAAGTGATAACCGTAGAGCACTGGGATTGATCGACTGGATCACCTTGATGTTCCCGGATGTGAATATTGATGTCAACTGTTTTTGCCCACAACCACTTGTCGTTTCCAGTGTACGTCAATCACTTCATTAGTCCGTGTGCGCTGTAACGCCGTGAGACCGAGTACACTTGTGAAGTCACCGTGTCCCGTCACCAGACGTTAGTGGAAGTGTGATGTATCGCATGTCCGTCTGGGTTGCAGTTCGGAAGTTGAGAACAGCATTGGGATTTGTATTCAACCCATGAACAGATGCTTCTAAAGCTTTGAAAAGAAATTTTCTTCAACGTAGTATCATTATGGTTACCACTATATCGCGTAGGAAACGAGCAAAAACGGAAGCAAAACAAGATCTCGATCATAAAGCGATCGAACATTCACTGGTGGACCCAGGTGTGCTTGTGCATGCTAAGAGCGCGTTGTTCAATAGTGGTCATCGACCGTTCGGTCTATAACTTTCGAACCCGATTCCTGCCTCTCGACTACCCCTGTCTAGGCTTGGGCAGTATTCCAGCTCTCGTGCTTGCCAGCTAGACACCGAAAGGGTGCTACAGCTGAACGATTTAACTTGCGCTGATACCAGACTGTTGGTGGCCAGTGTAACAATAAACTTCCAACAGTTTTGCTTACAAGGTTCAGAAATTTAGGGGTGGCTAGCAACAACCTCGGCTGTGCACGGTATTTCTCGTTTGGCTCCCATAGGTACTTGATATATTGATCTGAAGCAATCAGCTCTAACGTTTTACCTTTCGTCTTATCTGTGCCAGTTCTGTCCTCATCCGTCAATGTATCCACTTGAAAGTGAAACCTGGGGCAAGTTACCTTTGCCACGTAAGGTTACCGGTCGGGTGGGGATCGTGATTCTTGCTTTAACCGCATTGAATCATTTTTGACGAACAGGGATGCGTGATTATCTCACAAGATTTATAGCCTACAGGTTGAAAATTAGTGAACCATTCCTTCTTTTCGCTGGAGTCAAAACTCAATAATATGTGGTGGATAAAACTCTCTGCTAAAGTGTCGCCTAGTCTGATAGTCGGTTTACGGTGTACAGTCAAAGCTCAGTTGTTAGAGCGCGAATTTACTGACCCGAAGGTCCGACCTCTGCCTCTCGACTTCCCCTATCTAGGCTTGGGCAACTTGACAGTATCCCAGCCCTCGTGCTTCCTTCGGGTGGCATGGCAGCTAGACACCGAAAGGGTGCTACAGCTGAACAACTTCTTCATGTATGAAACGAGCAAAAATGAGAGCAGAAAGAAATCCCAATCACAAAGCGATCGAACATTCACTGGTGGACCCAGGTGTGCTTGTGCATGCTAAGGGCGCGTTGTTCAATAGTGGTCATCGACCGTTCGGTCTATAACTTTCGAACCCGATTCCTGCCTCTCGACTACCCCTGTCTAGGCTTGGGCACTATCCCAGCCCTCGTGCTTCCTTCGGGTGGCATGGCAGCTAGACACCGAAAGGGTGCTACAGCTGAACAACTTCTATTTACTCGTGGTTTCACGGGAAAAAAACAGTCATGTTGGCGCTAACTGGAACACCGACAGACAGTTTTCCATTGGACTCCCACTCTGGTTATGCATACATTTGCCGATAGAAGACCATATGGTGTTTGTCAACAACTGCGCTGTCGTTGTGCATGACGAATCCCACATGGTGTACCGACACAGGTGTTCGTCTAAAGAATCAACTACGTAATCCGATTAGGGAAACGTGTACAAGTGTGCAGCGACGTTACTTCCTCGATCAATTCAACAAACTGGGACAGTCTCATATCCCATGCCGAGCGCGTATGGGTTCTGTGGGGGGGGGATTATGAACCTTGCGTAGACTTTTCATTTAAACCTCTTGTTTTACTGGTTTCCAACTGTATAGGGGGTGTAAAATCACCACCAAATTGACACGTGATACACGTGAATTGGAATAATGTTCTGTCATCCCATTCTTGAATGTTTCGACTAACATGATCCTCCGATGGATTTCCACCTTTTTATTTCCGTCCCATCATAAAGAAAAGAAAATTCAGCATGCCTACAGAATCTGTTCGGATAGTTTCTTCTAATCGACGATCGATTCCCCCAGGGCTACTTCGCAATCCGGTGATCAGGGTAAAGCAAAAGTTACTGCACTCAAGGCTTGCATCACCGGAAGTCAGAATGGCTTAATTGTGTGCTGCGGACACGTAGTTGCTGTCTGTCGTGTCCAATTTGGTGTGGCGGAAAGGTAGACAGATTATGACGTCATACAGGGGAATGAAGTTACGAAGACTGCGTGCACTGCTGATGCCCAGAGTGGGACCCCCTTGACCCTCCGTATGGCGGCTAACCGCGGTGTTCATGCAGGCACTTCCTTCCCCGATTACTAGATTGAATGTGGGAGGCGTAGTCAGCCCGGTTGCTAGGCTAGTTCTCAGCCCCCTTCCTGTCTCATTTTCCATAACATGACTTTGTTCAAATAGTGACATCTTGTACGACTGATGCGCCGATGATGTTACTGATATTACTGTCAATGGTAGTTATGATATGGGTGGAGGAAACATGTGCCCAGTGCCTTAAGACAGCGCCACTGTACTTGCATCGGACAACAAACGGAAATTTGCACCGGTCCAAGGCTCAGTAATCAACATCAAGTCACGTGGCCTTGACTTCCGGACATGACCAGGCAGATGTTGGTTCCCATCACGTGTCCATCGTCTGGGCATTTTCCGCGATAGAAATTTCCTCTCATTCTTACTTGGCTGATACCAGTCCGAAAACCACTGTAAAGTTGTTGTATCGTGGGTGGCCGTCTATTGGTTACGCATGCACTGCGCCTGCCAGATTACGCGATAAGGAGAAGACAGGGACACGGCTGTATCATCAGGACAAAACATACAGAGCTTCTGCATAAATACATAGGATCACTAAACGGTCAAATATGGTCGTTCACTTGTTCGTCCTGTACAGCCAATGGCGGTGTTCCGGTCGTGAACAATTTCAGTCCTATGTTACTAAGTCGCGTTTGGTGAGCTCCGCCAACGCACCTGCTATCCGAAACGTGTCGTACCGATGGTGACCTTGGGGATGCGCCATTCTTCGCACCACCCACCAAATCTTTCACTGACAGGTAAGCTATAGGACGATCATTTTCCTTGGTAGAAGGAGGCATTTGTGGGCGTCGTATGCTACGATAAGTTTGCCTTCCTTCCATTCACCAGTTGGGTGATCCTCGGCTTAAAACGTGTCGGCTACGTTGACTCAGTGCCTCTCGAAATTCCTTTCACCTGGTTAAAAATGACACATTGTACACGTGTTTCTCTCCCGGATCTCTTTCTTTCCTGCAGGTCTTACCAAACGATTTCTTCCTCACTGGTTGCTTCGAGGAATTCATCGAGAATGCTCGTCTGCTCATGTTCGAATCGTTTTGTCGAATCCATCATAGTGTGGGCATCAGGTAAGTCACTCCTCCGTTCACTCGAGTCTCAATGTGTCTTCATTTCGTTGTTATTCTATACTTGTTCCTAGCTGGAGGGGATACTTTGACGTGCGATCCGGTTTTCATAACCATGTGTGGAGTGTGACTAGTTCCAACGTAACTAACTCACTTCCGATGTTCCCACCAGACGTGGACGATGCTTCGGGCCTACTGGTGGTCAGACACGGAATGTCTTTTTGCTTGCTCACAACACAGTGGGCATGTTTCTGATCCGCGAATCCTTGTGTATCATACGACAGTGTTGTTAACTCCATCCTTGACCAATGAGCGGATGTCACCGATGATAGAACGGGTGTTGGACGTTGGCATAAGCCTCCTGGCCTTACCCATTTGCGGAACGATCTCGTCTTCAGTGGTATCTGGGCCGTAGGTGAGACATCTGTTTGTGTAGATTTTCCAGGGCCTTGGTGCACTCCACACCCTTATAGGGATGAGAAACCTCGAACTCGATATCGTCCAGCTGTAGCACCATTTCGGTGCCTAACTGCCATGTCGCCCGAAGGAAGCCTGAGAGCTGAGATACTGCCCGGTCGCCCAAGCCTAGACGGGGGAAGTTGAGAGGCAGAGGTCGGGTTCGAACCACGGACCCTCTGGTCAGTAAATTCGCGCTCTAACCACTTGGTCCATCTCACTATGCTTAGGTTTGGAAAAGCCGTCGGTGTCTCTTAATCTTTGCCCAAGTGTGGTGGGAAGATCGATGCGTCGGTTATTTATTGTAAGAAGTGACCCTCCTCTGACAGACAAGCTGGTCACACAGTAGAAGTGAAACTCACACGACCATGGACTGTTTACCTCCTTGACTGTGTTTTGGTCCACCCACAGAAGACGTGGTCTGTGTCTTGGAGCCCGGGACAAGAATCTCTGATACTAACCGTCATGGCCTAATCACGCAGCCAGTAGCCCTTATGCTTTAGAGCTTATCACCTTCAATACATTGCTGCGGGGCGAGATGGCTCAAGTGGTCAGAGCACGAATGTACTAACCGGAAGGTCCGTGGTTCGAACCCGACCTCTGCCTCTCGACTTCCACTGTCTAGGCTTGGGCGACCGGACAGTATCTCAGCCCTCAGGCTTCCTTCGGGCGACATGGCAGTTAGGGACCAACAGGGTGTTACAGCTGAAAGATTTTTAAGACATTGCTGTCCCGATCCCTTCTCGGTGACTAAAGTGGAATGCGTCAACGTCATCGAATTACAGGCCATTATGTCCAGGTTGATGTTGTTCTTCCCCCCTACCCCTGAGCAATAAAACCAACGAACGCGTTTTGGCACGCGGCTAGTTGATGGCTGGTGGACTGCTTCCAGCACGTTGGTGTTTCCAAGTAATATTTTTATCAGGTGATGAAAAGTGCACCACATGGTCTAGTCTTCCACTATCAATTGGTTAGGTTGGCACTTGCCAAAAAGTTGTGAACTTCAGTAGCGTCTATCGGGCTGCAGTCAACTGGTCTTTTGTTTACAACGGCATCGGATTTTTCGAGTTTCACTCGGTGACGTGTTTTTCATGGTCTTAACGACAAATTCCTCTATTTCCCGTGATACCGTGCCGTGTGTTGCGTTAAGTTGGATTTACCGATATCAACAGTGCTGGTTATTGGGTTCGATTGGGTGGAGCATTTAAAAAGGGGGCTTGTCATTCTTTAACGATGGTGAACGCTTAGCTCCAGTACCCCCCCCCCTAGAATAGAGAGGATAACTCTGTGAACATTCTTACCTCTTCTCAGTGAATTCGAGACTAAATCGTAGCTGAATAGAACCATCACTGGAGCCTCTCAATGGGATTGGCTTTTCTCTGAGGAGATTACCGTGCCATGTCTTCATAGAATTACTGTATTCCAATGGTTGGGACGCGAACTTACTGACCGGAAAGTCCGTAGTCTAAACCCGACTCTTGACTGCTTCTGTCTAGGCTTAGCGACCTGGCGGTATTTCAGCCCTGATGCCTCCTTTGGGTGGCGTGGCAGCCAGGCACTGGAAGGCTGTCACAGCTGAACGGCTTTTCTACACACACACACACACACGCATGGTGGTTCGTGATTGTGTCATCCAGTCGTTTGCTGTTTTCTGACAAACTGTTTCACTGGAGCCCATTTGGGCTCTAGAACCAGAAGAAGAGGAAACTCAAAAAAGTATAAAAAAACACGCACCTAAGCAGAACTCATGTATTATGCCGATCCTTCGGTCAATACCAACTTAATTTACGAACATGTGTTCGTCGCAACATCGTCCAACTATCAATTAGCAGAGCCACCTCTGAGTTTTTCGGTGCGTATTCAATGCAACATTGAACTGCCCTTGGCCAGTCAAAGTGTCACAAGCTTCTTCAAGCATCAAACCTTCTGGGGAGTTGAATTCGTTAAATTTTGTGAACAAATCTGCTCGAGCTAATCTCACTTGTGGGTCTATCAGAACGGTATTTCCAACCATATTTTCCCTAATAACATCTAGGGGGTGTTTTCATAAAGGAAACTACTCACAAGGTTGCTGAAAACTCTTCGACAGCCCACGTAGAACATAAGGTTGACGGAAACTCGGGGACTGCGCCTACCTGATGAGCCCTAAGAAGGGCGAAACCGGTCGTGGGCTGTCGAAGAGTTTTCAGCAACCTTGTGAGTAGTTTCCTTTATGAAAATATAATGCGATATCTCGAATATCGTGCCAACTGAATCATGAGGCGGCCTGTGTGCAGCGCATTCAGCTGGAGGACATCATAAACAAGAGATTCAACTGAGTCTCCCGTGAAAACCAAATTGATTTGCAAATGAGTGTATTTCTTGGAAATGTAGGGAGTGTTTTCTGGCTTGAATTTGCTGCACCAGATCCCTGCAGGACAAGTTCATTTGAGGCCTTCAAGGTTCTTCAACACAGCATGCGTAACAGTTGGGTGCACACTCGGTGTTTGTTGGCGTTGAATACATGTCCCCAACGTTTGCAATAACACCGGGGGGACCTTCACTTAACATTCTACGTTCACTGCTCGTTCCCATACCATATGACTGGGAAAACGCTGATGCGACATGCAGTACTAAACTAGTGAATGTAGTCGAAATGTTCGGTCAAAGTCAACAAGACAAATTGACACAACGGCTGTCCACAAATGCCTCTTCTCGCTCCTGTACTGTTTTAATCTATATCGAAGGTCTACCCACAGGCGTCTAGTCTTCGTGTCTGGCCGATGACATTGTTCGATACACCCAGTCAATGACGCGGATCTTCGTCTGGACTGCTTAAACGGTCGTCCATTTTATGCCGCTCATGAGACACCCTCTTTTAGGTCAAGTGCAACAAACAGCATACAATGGGCTGAAACATGCCTGTCTGGTGGATGAAGAGTAGACTCGAGTTCACGGGTCGATCACCGAGATAGAATTGACCTGGTTACCCTCCGGATGAATATGATATTCAGCTGAATGCTGGCCGACTCTCCCGTTAACACTGGTCTAATTGGCAAATGAGTGTTTGTCGTCACATATCTACAACTTTGTATCAAAGTACGATGCGGGTTCTAGGCTTACCTGATGGAACTTTCGAAAATTTTTATCAGCCTTATCAGTGAAAGGAAGAAGGCCTTCGCTGCGGAGTTATTTATTACAAAATGCCAAATGACCGGTTACTGACTATTGGACAGGGAAGCAAAACTCTCATTTGCTTCTTATTCACAAAAACTGGACATCCATCTTCTCCTGAACGCGTCTTCTTGTACTCTCCTGGATATTCATTGACTCCAATCATTCATCGCTCAAATCCAAGCAAATGTTACACAGCGAATACACAAATTCCACAACAGTTCTCCTTTTTCAAGAGACACAAAGCGAAATTCCACGAACAACACACTACTCGCGTGCCTCCCCATCAGTAGTATCACCGTTACATCAGTAGTGTCTTGGGGCGGGAGATACTTGGCTGTCGTGAATGTCGTTCCAACGGACACATTAGGTGCGATACAGGTATTCTTGTCCCAGAAAATTTCGCATGCTTGATTTATTTCAGTAGGATAAGGTACGACAATCTGTTCGTACCCGAATATTGTCTGATTCTTTCAAGGTTGAGTGTAGACAGGCTACGTGTGAATTAACACGTAGTTTCAACGGAGATGCCCCAAAGGAATCTTTTGCTAAATTTCCTTCACGTTCATGTAGCACATGTGCATCGATTTCGTTCCGCGAACAGGGAATTATTTGAAAAGTTGCTTTTTTCCTGAAAGTAGGATTAAATTACCGACCGTGTAGCATAAAATTTTCGCATATCCTTGGTTAAAGAAGTCGTTTGTGGGGTATCTGTCAGGAAGTTCAGATTCCTGAAGATAGTTGCGGAATGCCTGAAACCTACCAAGACCCTTGAGCTCCACCAAATTTCTGAGTAGAGAAACCGGCAAGCATCCAGGCCAGCCAACCTATCAATCAATCCAACACAAGCTGACGAGTGTTCAGGTGCTCGCTTGTTCGCGACAAAGATGTTTTCACGAGAGACTCAACTGAATCTCTCATTTGTGATGTTCTACAACTGAATGTGCTGCACACAGGCCGCCTCATGTTTCAATTGGTACGATATTCGAGATATCGCAGTATATTTTTCATGAAGGAAACTACTCACAAGTTTGTTGAACATAAGATTGATGGAAAGTCGGGGACTGTGCCTACCTGATGAACCCTAAGAAGGGCGAAACCGGTCGTGGGCTGTCAAAGAGCTTTCAGCAACCTTGTGAGTAGTTTCCTTCATGTTGTGTTCCTTGTTGGCAAGCCTTTTTCCGGCACTGGGGCGAGAACAGCAGTATCTCTACAGTCTGCTTTACTAGTGTTAATAAATACTACACATGGCTTCTCATGGAAGTGTTTCATCGTCCCGCAGTCCCGTCGTAATTTTTCAGTAACTGTCTGGGTCTGTCCGGTAGTGTCAGCAATGAATACCACGGAGGAGTGAAGGACGGTTGTTCACAATTTACGTTACAACGGTGGTGGTTTCGTTCGATTTGTGTTGAGATCGAGATTGCTCAGTGGTCAAGGCTCGTGGGTCGGACCGGCTTTCCTGCCGACTTTTCCTGCCCAGGTTGGAACAACCAGAGAGTATCGCAGCCCTGGTGATTCCTTCAAGTGGCATGGCAGCCAGGCACCAAAAGAATGTTACAGCTAGACGATTACTGTTTTCAAGCGTGCCAATGGACGACACACTTGGCAGTGAACTACTCCATCGAACATCGAAGGGATAATCTGGCCACAAAGACTCAACCTGTTTGCAAGGTTATCCGAATACGAGTAAACATGAGGCTGGCAGATGACAGTGTTAGAGTAGAAGAGTCAGAATACCGGTTTTTAGGCGCTGCAGTCCTCATTCACTCCAAATTCTCATCAGAGCTTGAACTGCTTCGGTGTAAGCCATAACTGCTTGGTTCTTTTAAACAGGTTCATTAAGGTGTCCTTTTGATTCTACCCCTCTTCGGAGGCTTGTGAAGTAGCCTTCAGTTGAGTTCACACTTAGCAAGAATTTAGGTGTTGAATGATCATGACTTACTCTGAGGTCTTGTATCCAAATAAGAACGGAGAAAGAACGTGAATTTTAAGGAACCGTGATACCCCACTGAAGTAGCTATCAACAAACATATCGAAATTGACCTGTTAATCAACCAGCAAGCGCAAGAGAATGCCGGAACCTCAGAGCTGTACAAGCAACCAGACGGGAAACTCGCAATGGGAGATAGATAGCCCGATTCAAACAGATCTGATTGCAGGAGTCGCCCAGTTGATAAACCAAAGTGCCAAATTAACCAGCGGACACCAGTCGTTACAATGAGGAAAATAGAGCGGTACAACCAACCAGTGAATCTCGAAGGTAGACCAATGCAAATCGAGGCGGCCAATCAAAGCCGAGGAAGGATAACCGGTCGACTCAAAGGGACGCAGTCCACAACGCAACAAAGATCGTAACCGAACAATAAATTCACCCAGCTAGCCAATCACGTTAGAAGATAACTGGTAGTCTTCAGATGCTATATGAATACCTGCAGACCCGTAGTACCCACCCAGCTGCCCACTGATGGGGTCGCTTCGGATGGTGACGAAGCGTTTGCGAGTCAAACTCGGCAAACAGATCAACAGTCACCTGATTAACAACCAGTACCCTGTACCTCTTTGTCCCGAAGCGATCTTTATATTCCTGATGAACGTGGCTCTCCGTTAGACAAAAACTCGAATCCTTTCGGACAGAAACTCTGGTCTGCATTCTGTTTGCAGTTTACTACAACTTCTCTGGATTTGTTTATTTGGCAATGCGCTAAATACACCCAAACAACGCTTATATTTCCCAGTCGTATTTGGTTTCTACCCAATTTTCAAGAAGAATAACTTCAGATGTTAATCTGGGACTGTTGGTGATTTTTCCACCTTCGCCAGAGGTTTCCATTTAAATAAATTTTCATGGTTTCGTGGCAGTTACGCACCGGCATTGCTGTCCAGGGTGCTTCCCGGGAAACTGGACGGCTTTATATATATTTTGCGCAGTGTTCAGGTAGCCTCTGGCGAAAACCTTATCGCTCTGGAATATGCAGACGATATTGTCCTGGTCTTGGAAGACACGAAAGCGCAGGGTTTTTTTTTATGAACTGGCCAGTCATTCGGTCCTTTTGTATGCACCTTGCAACCACGAAATGTGGGTGGACTGTTCATGGACATGCGGTCACTGAACACGCCAACTGCAATCCAGGGGGAACTTGTGGTGCGTTTTACACACCTTGGGAGTTGTGTTAGTTCTGATTGTAGTTTGACAGATGAGGTGGCCAACCCTTGACCTAGCAGGGTGTATGAAAGATAGTACGAAGTGTTTAGGTGCTGTCGGTGCTACCAGGATGGGGACCGCGTATCCTCACTGGCGCCTGGTTGAAGACGCTGTAAGCTATGGCTGCCAACCGATGTCAGTGGCGTTCTCGTTGTCAGTTTCTATCCAGGTCGCCTGAGTGTGTCTGGAGGTGTGGGCACCTCCGAATGATTGTGGTAAGCTAGCACTGAGTCCATTCCCCGTCCACCTTTACCCTTTTGTTTACAATAAGGCTTTCAAACAAGTCATGGTTGTACGGCAATGAAGCATCGGTGTGGAACACTGATGTCATGCTGTCGATGACGATGATTTTCCGTAATGTAGCTTAGAAATCGAGCTGTACAGAGAATCCAGTAGTTTGTTTTAATCTGCGTCCTCATTTTATCCGTTTATTTTCAACCGCCGTGGTTTTAGTGTCCTGGCCGAAAAATTAAACATGAATGTGGAGGATGCGGAGCGGTGGATCGTCAATTTAATTCGTAACGCACGAATGGATGCAAAAATCGATTCAAAAAAGGTTGGTTCATTTGTCCACGCTGGAACATGTCGTTGACGTTATTACTGGTATTATTATTATTATTATTACTCCTCATACCCAACCACTCCCCCTTTTATCTGTTCGCATTACTTCCGTGCTCCAACGGTTGTCAGTAGTATTCGTTTTTTCTTCTCTTCGGTTTCTGCATGGCTGGTCGCTATTCACCTCAGTTTCCTCCCTCAATGAGCACGTTCTCTCTCACACACACACACAATCAGCTTGCTAAATAAGAGGAACGCAATAATTTGCCCGAATGATTTCTATCCCCATACAATGAGTCGGATCGATAACTGCATTGCGGTAACATTGTTGTTTCCAGTCGCGCTTTTTTGCATCTGTGTCACTTCTTTATGTTACGACCCAATTCGCTTGCTTGGGGCGGGTGTTTGCTACGTGAATGATGTAGGATTGACAATTGGAACAAAACCGACTGCGGCTGTACTCGATAGGGGGGATCGCACGCGTATCGATGTTTCTACTTTGGAGTTCTGTCAATTGCCTTGGCACCTTGATACATTAATTCTACGCTGTAGGCCTACGAACACCTATCTTGTTTGAGTTTTGCCTAACTTTCTAGTTCAATTGGTTTCAACATCAATTTATAAATAAGTTTGACGTCTAACTCTTTGTTTTTTTTTAGTTTACGAACCCTGTCGAGAATGAAACGCAATGTCAGTGTCCCACTGATTATCTCTAGATAAAACTTCCTAAAGAAAGAAATCGCTCTTGATCGGACTCTCTTGAACCATTCCGTTCCGACCAGACTGGTTTGAGTATCGGTAGTCATTATCAACCAGTCAAACTATGTGCCTGACCTTCCCGGCAAAAAAATCGCTTTCTTCAGTTTTGAAATGGAATTTTAGATGGTAGACAACGAGGACACCTTTCCCGCTATCCACCTGGGTGTTTCCCGTGATCCTATCCAGCTACCTGTTCCTTGCTCATGATTCGGGATATCCGTTTTGGTTGGGTTTTGATCAACCTCTGTCTTAGTGCGTCGACGGTAAGATGGACCATGAATACAGCGTACTACATGCGCTCATGCCCGGCAAGATTTGCACAGTTGGCTTCTCGGTCTGTTTTTCAAGGTCAAACTCTTAGGCGGTCAAGATAGTGGACATTGCCCGTCCATTTTTGTCACTTAAGAAGCGTTTCGTGACCCCCCGGGGGAATCATTCCACCATTAAAGTGTATGCGGTTGATAGATGATGACCAATAGGTTGGGTCAACCGCCATGGTTATCGTACACTGAATGAGGAAATGACATAATCATCTACGGATCCTACTCAGACTAACCCTGAATTCTTTTTAGTCCGACGTGTTTTTATTGTACAGCAGCACTAGTGTGCTGGCAGGGTCCATTCCCCATACTGTGAATAAACCAAACTCCGGTTCTGTTCGGTCCAACCGTAATCTATTCTTCGCGTTATTTCTGGGTTTCTGCCTAAACTCTTCCTGGCCTCATCGTTCGATTTGTACAGTGTCGTTTCAACCGACTGGGTAGCGACACGAAAGCGTCTCTAACAGTGGCCACAGACAAGTCATGCTGCAGTGTGGGTGCGACCGATTTTATCACCTGTTGGTCGCGTCCTACTCAAGCACACCAAAGGTTGCTGAGCCGGGTGATTTGGTCACAACTGTCTCATCACTAGTCTAGGTGACATCATCAGTGCTTTGTTATGTAGCGAGGTGATGCAGTGCGTCAATGATACTAGCAAGTCAGATAGAGAAACATCAAGTAACCGAGCCAACCAACTCGGGAAGGGTAGCTCCAACAACAGCTCTTAGTGTACTGATTGTTCGAGCAAGATACCGACAATGATACCTTCCTATGATTCAAATAAATGGGCATACCTCGAACTTTTCTGTCTCGTTTTTCATTCAATCCGTTATTTCCTCTGTTCACATCAGCTTGTAAGGTTTCCGCGATCCACCTGTTCACTTTCCTATCTTTGCACGTTCCGATGGCTAGCCAAGATCGCCCGTGTGAGCGAGTGTTTCACTGCACAAATTAGCTGTAAAATCGATCATACGCTCAGAATGTGACGCTCTTGGGTGGCTCTTGGTCCTCGCATCTCAACCCTGAAGTTGCAACTGATAAGTCACGGCATTAGTAATATTGTTGCTTAGATCAGCTGCCACAAACGACCCGAAGAAACTTGAGAAAGAACACTGGAAAATTTACGAGGTCTCCATTTTTTCCTAGGGTGGGTTATGTCCAGTGCGAAGTATAATTTCATATTTCACAAATTTATCTATCGAACAATCTCCACTTTCCAGGGGTTGATTGTCATGGGGACACAAAAGGTATCACCTTATCAACAGGTGATCGAACGGACCAAGACCAGTGGCAGTTGTGCGCACAAGTTACTCGAACGACTGCGGTGGGAGAAATCGTTGGACAGTGAAATGGTATGTCACCCCGTTTCTGGCTTACTGAGATGTTTCGGTGTTGTAGTGTTGAACTGAGTGATGCTCAGGCTTGGCAACTGGACATTATCTCAGCCTTCGGGCTTCCTTCGGGTGGTCACCGGAAGGATGTAACAGGTAGACGGTGTTACGCTGCGCCAAAGTAGTATACCGTTGTGCATTTGATTAAATCTGAAGACTGTTTAGACTCAGAAAGCTGACTGGCAACCTATCGATGTGGAAGGCCAATATGTTTTTGTTTAGATGTATCACACTACTCGTAAGATTGCTGAATACCCTTCGACACCCCACGACCGGTTCCGCGCTTCTTGGGACTCATCAGATAACCGCAGTCCCCGAGTTTACGTCAACCTTACGTTCTACTTGAACCCGAAGTGGACTGTTTTCGGGAAATACACTCATTTGCAAATCAATTTGGTTTTCACGAGAGACTCAACTGAATCTCTCGTTTATGATATTCTACAACTGANCTTTGCACGTTCCGATGGCTAGCCAAGATCGCCCGTGGGAGTGAGTGTTTCACTGCACAAATTAGCTGTAAAATCGATCATACGCTCAGAATGTGACGCTCTTGGGTGGCTCTTGGTCCTCGCATCTCAACCCTGAAGTTGCAACTGATAAGTCACGGCATTAGTAATATTTTTGCTTAGATCAGCTGCCACAAACGACCCGAAGAAACTTGAGAAAGAACACTGGAAAATTTACGAGGTCTCCATTTTTTCCTAGGGTGGGTTATGTCCAGTGCGAAGTATAATTTCATATTTCACAAATTTATCTATCGAACAATCTCCACTTTCCAGGGGTTGATTGTCATGGGGACACAAAAGGTATCACCTTATCAACAGGTGATCGAACGGACCAAGACCAGTGGCAGTTGTGCGCACAAGTTACTCGAACGACTGCGGTGGGAGAAATCGTTGGACAGTGAAATGGTATGTCACCCCGTTTCTGGCTTACTGAGATGTTTCGGTGTTGTAGTGTTGAACTGAGTGATGCTCAGGCTTGGCAACTGGACATTATCTCAGCCTTCGGGCTTCCTTCGGGTGGTCACCGGAAGGATGTAACAGGTAGACGGTGTTACGCTGCGCCAAAGTAGTATACCGTTGTGCATTTGATTAAATCTGAAGACTGTTTAGACTCAGAAAGCTGACTGGCAACCTATCGATGTGGAAGGCCAATATGTTTTTGTTTAGATGTATCACACTACTCGTAAGATTGCTGAATATCCTTCGGCACCCCACGACCGGTTCCGCCCTTCTTGGGACTCATCAGATAACCGCAGTCCCCGAGTTTCCGTCAACCCTCATGTTCTACTTGAGACCAAATTGCACGAAATCAGCGAACTACTTTCATTCGCTCATCAATTAAGTTTTCGCAGAAAGCTCAGCTGAACCTTCAACTGAATGTGCTGTACAAAGGCTGCTTCATTTTGCAGTTTGTACGATATCCGAGATATCACAACACGTTGCATATAAGGTTGCTGAAGCGGACCATCATAAACGAGCGGTTCAGCTTGGTTCACCTAACTCTCCTGTCCAAATTTGTGTGCAAATGAGAATATTTGTCAATATTTTTTATTTGGTTTGTCGAGCACATTGTGATAAGTAGCCCCAAGCTACTGGCGAATGAAGGGAGGCCCCTCGCAGCGGAGTTGTTTATTAGAAAACACCAACTAAACGGTTACAAACTATCGGACATAAAAGTAAAAAAAACTGAATGTCCCTTCTCAAACGCGTCTTCTTGAACTTTCCCGGATATTCATTGACCATCACGCAGTTTTAGACGGATGCTGCAGAGAGTTACGAGAAAACCACAGACTACTCGCATGCCTCATCAGTAGTATCCTCCGTTACACTGGGAGCCTACAAATTAAGCACCACTGCGAAGCACACAGATTCATTTTATTCACGTTAATAATTGTCCTTATTCTAACCATTGTTTCCTCTGTCAAATTTTGGTAGCTACCTTTCCGCCTTTTAACCGTTTGTACGGATCTCTGCAGAATTGGAACTGCAATCTACCTCGCCCGCGACATGTGCGAAATCTGTCAGTGTTTGACCATCGGTGTCTGCGGAGAATTGGTTGGGTCTGGGGGATTAGTGGTGATGAGCTATGTCAGATGATTTTAGGGAAAAAGAACTCTCCAAGGACGTATGAGCTACTCACGCTTCATAGGGGGAATGTCAGAGAACTGTCTGCCTCGCAGAGCTATTTTCGCTCAGCTCTCTGATTGAGAAGTGGTCAGTGTATGGCCTGGCAGTGAAGATGATGACATCAATCAGTATACTCAGCTGGGTTGATGTATATCGCCTCTTCCTGGATGGGTACCCCGGGACTCAACTCACCAGTGGTTAACGACACTGGGAGACGTGGCTCATAAAAGCCATCGCCCATTTTCCGGTGACTGAAACTGAAGCAGCTAGAACCGGTGTAACATAGGTACATGGTTCGACTGACTCGATTGCAATATTTCGGTGCGCAAAAGTGTAGATGAATTTGTATCTCACCCGTTTTCACATATTAACTTCCTTCACTTCCTTTAGGTTCCGACTTTCTTTTTTTATGTTACATTGTTCATCCCAGTGACGGCCGTTTGTGACCGTTGTTCAGCTCGCCAGGCTTTTAAGGAAACGGACCATATTGTGAATTTTAATCGGGTTATGCAGCACACCTCTCCGGGGCACGTCACCTGGTTGGACAACCGTACACAATAAGCCATGTGTGAGGGACAATTTGGTCGCTGAAACCAAAGGAAGGAAAGCCAGCTATTAGAAGCGATGGCCTAATCGTTTACCACACAATAAATTGTCCTAGTTGGTTGGGGATACTGGGCAGCCACACATCGAAGGCGATAGTTTCGAAGTAGCATTACCACTGACTGCTTGAGTGAGCAGCGTTCTCTACAGTGTGCTTAACGATGGACAAGTCAGATCTCGGCGAACTCATCCAGGCCTTTGACAAACCGCCTTGTTTGACTGGTTAATGCATTCATAGTCTGTTACCAGGCCAAAAGCAATTGTATACGGGGTTTAACGCAACCAGCTATCGTAGTTGGTCGGTCTTCTGGCATGTGAACTACGTCACTTGACCAGTTAATGGGTGCCACGTGATTAGCTCATATCTAAAGCCATTGCTAATCCAATATTACCATCAGACCCGGGTATTAGTTTTGCGATACCCATGGTCTAACACCGAAAAAGTTTGCATTCTGTGCATAGGGAACAAGTCTCTGGTGTATGGGGCTTTGTGAGTCGCACTTTCGAGCTGCTCAGTGTCTTTGACAGACAAAACAAGACATTATGTCCAGGTGCGTCATCACCTGGGCCCCCCGGGGGACACTCCCAGCTGGAATTATCTTAGGTCCAGTACTGATGAACCGAACTGATTGATGTTATTAACTTTCGTTAAGCATGCATATTTTCCGCTTGCCTTTTGTGAGTGTGTTCGGGTACCTGCTTGCTCTGAATTCTGTTCTTTCCATTTTCAGTGGGGGCTTTCTGGAGCGCTGGGCTGATCGTCTTGTGTTTGTACAGTGATCTCCGCTCATTCACATCCCATCACCTGTCTCTTTTTTTGAATCGGTTGTGTCCAACATTTCTCTCTCTCTCTCTCCCCGAATCAGTGGAACGGTTGAACATAAAGTTTGGTGGAAACTTGCAGACTTCGTTTTTTCTCATATATTCAGCAGACTGTTTTTGGAACTTCCAGTTTCGTGAGTTTTCAGGTTCTTAAAGCAGTCCAAATTTGTACACAGAATTGTCATATCGTCTTTCAAACAATGCTAGTGTTGTGGATCTGTCTACGGAGTGCCTCAACTGTACTTCACGATGACGAACTCACTGGTCAAAGTTTGACTTCCTCAAACAGTGAGTAGGCTTTCGAACACGGGGGCGCAGTTAGAGCTTCCCGACAACATCCATCTCCTGGGAACTGGTGATCGATTTTCTGTGCAGTAATTCAACATGAACACTGCGACCAGGCTGCACAATTTAACTGACTTGATGGAACACAGTAGTCATAAAAGTGTTGTAAACTCTTCGACAGCCCACGATGGGCTTCGGCCTTCTTAGAGCTGATCAGGTAAGCACATTTCCCGGGTTTCCGTCAACACCAAATTGTAAACACACTAATTGGTAGCACGATCGAGCATTTCCCTAGAGTTGAATTATTGTGCAGATGAGCATCTCGCCAACAAACGTAAGGAAACTTGAGAATTGTGGCTACCTCATAAACATCCAGAAAGACGAAACTGACAGTGTGCTGTCAACAGGGCTCTTCAGTAACCTTTTCGACAAAAACGACAGGCGGTGTTTTCGACATCTTCATCCAGTGGAAACGAATAAAGAAACTTATCTGCTTGATTTTGATGGCCCTTGGAATGTGCACATTTGCAGGGTCCACGTATCACCCTCACACGAGTTCGCAGCTTCCCAGGATGCAAAGTGATGCCTCCGAAATAAATTCTAACTCGAGGGCTAATTGGAGAGTTGATGCGAACTGACTCGCTTGAATTGAGCAGCGTCGTTCATGTGTGACACGATGAAGCGCATTGTCTAATGATGTTCTGTCAAGCGAAATGCTCACGTATTCGCTCACCCAGCTCGTTCCGTTGAATAGTATTATGAGAAGCAACAAACGACCATCGGTTGGGTCACAAGCAGTATCTCGTCTAAGGTAATTAGAGCCGGGGAATGTTCCTCGAATGTGATTGGTTGACGGTTCTCGTCCACCTAGCCATGAAACGAAGAAGGCCTCCGTTGTGGAGTTATTTATTAGAAAACGCCAAGTGGACAGTTACAGACCATTGGACAGGCAAGCAAAACTATCATATGCATCTCGTTTACAGAAACTGAATATCCTCGAACGCCTATTTCTGAACTTTCCTGGATATTCTTGACTGTTGCTCAAATGCAAGCAAATGTGACTCCACAAGTTCCGTAATAAATCTCACTTTTCAAGAGAGGCGAAGCGGATTTATGAAAAAACATACTACTCACATGCCTCATCGGTAGTATCCACCGTTACTCCCAAACGATCAGTCAGTGTTTTCGGCTGGTAGATTGAATACTTAACCCCCCAGCAACGAGCGCCTGATTGTCGCTATGTTTGACTCGGAGTTAGACCATCGCACATCGTTCAGTCACAGAAACCACATCACGTGGTCATGTGTTGATTAACTGGCTCATAGGGTGACGATTTCTCACTCATCCTGTAAATTTATTCTTTCTGCGAGTTACTTATACATTGTCTGAGTAGATTCGGTGACTTGCAACATTTGACCGCCGATCCTATTCTCCCAACGGTGCGCGTCTCTCGAAACCCCAAGGAATTTCCAACCCGGCTGATAATATAACGCTAAACCGTTCGGTCACGAGCGGCCGATCACTCATAGAGGATACATCCGCCTAATTGGATCGAGGGAGAGTGACAGCAATGATCCCAGCTTATTTACCGAACTAGCCTCACAAGTCTTGATTTATAGCCAGCAGTACTACTGCATATGCGTGATTTACACAATACAGCAACATGGTGAACGCTTATGCTTGTCCCCCTTCCCCGCAAGCACACTGGGAACCAGTTTTTCGCGTCTACTTATAACCATAAAACACGGTAAATTTCCACGAGACGTGTTCTCAAATGGCGACAGACATTGTAATGGACTCGATCAATGTTGTGTTGTGCTTTATGTCATCCCTCGGATCGATGGGTATCTCGGTAGTGAAGTTTTCCAGAGAATGGTTGTCCGTGCGCATCTGAGGTCAAGTCAAACTCCTTCGCTAATGTGACTAATTTGTGTGTCAGCTACACTTCTGGTGTAAGGAGTTTCCATTACAGAATTTTCCACAGGAGTAGTTAAACCGCCCTGCTGGGAAAAAGCAGAAAGTGTCTCATATCCTGGGGACGATTTAGTGGAAGCTATTCAGGAGCTCCA